CATTAGGGGGAGGTTGTGGAGTTCTGTTTTCCTCACTCTTTTCCCCCTGTACTGCTCTCTGTCTTCGTCACTCTTCGCGGAAAAGCCACCTCCATGACTCATGAGCGGAGTCATAGGAAAAGTTAATGCATCCCAATCCTAGCAATGAGAGATGTTAGTTTTGCTGGCTTAGTCTTGAAAAACATGATGATCCTCTAGAAATTGCCATTGCCATGCATTTTTGTGCATTAAAAATACAGATCTATGGACTACAAAAACATTACATGAGAATATTTCCGTAATTCATATATAATAAACCAGGCATAGAATTATTCTGATCCTCTGGGACATAAACCACTTTGGTTTTCTCAATCTTTGGCTGGTATTTGAAGCCACCAAGTGCAGCTATTTTATTAGGTCTTCTGCAGATAATTTTTCATGTTTTCTGCGAAGCCCATGAGTCCATGGCTTATCATAATATTTTCCTACTAAATATGGTTCACAGATGACACTTTGGGCTTGCTGAAGTCTGTGGGAATCTTGCTGTATGTTTCCGCAGAAGCAGGACTCCATCCAGCGCTTTTAAACAAGTTCCTCCGTGTTGAAACTTTCAGTAATAACTTTATGACTCTGCCTGGGAACTCATAGGGAAACACCGTTTTTAAATTGACATTTGAAACTTCTTAATTTATAGGAGAAAGCGCCTAAACAAAAAATATACAACTTAATTGTGTTAGGTAACAAACCAGAAAGGGACCAGATGAAGTGCTGCTAGTATTAATCCACGAAATTCCTCATGTGCCTCAGATGATTAGATCTTGGGCGCTAGATAAACCACACATTTAGCTATATAAATGTCAGGGCCCAAGTCTGCTCCCGTTTGAAGTCAACAATAAAATTGATGATGATGATGAAAAGTAGAACTCTAAATCCAGAGTGAAGTTTGGAAAGAACAGATTTTGAAGTACTTTGCTACTCTTCAGGAAAATAAATATTAATGATACCAGATCTCTCAATGGGTTTGCAGGAAAATAAGTAGGAATTGAACTTGGCATTTTGTTGGTACTCGTGAGGATTCTCAAATCAGCATTCTGGTTTTGTCAGTGCTTCTGCAATAGCCAGTATCATCCGATTTGCTCCTGAAAATGTTGCAGAAGTTTTAAATTTTGAAATATTTGAAATATTTTACAGACTAATTCTGCACAGCTCCTACCCAAGCTCCAGTACTATTCTTCAAACTTATGAGTGTGGAAGGGAAAAGAATGTTTACTTAAGGAGGAATTTCTTTTTGATAAAACTTTGGGCATGATAATACTGATTTTATTATTTTATCTTGTACTGTTTCTTGTTCTATTTTTTTTACAGCAATAAAAATATGGTAGGAAACCTTTTCACAAACACTAATTCATAGAAGGATGGATGATTTAGGTCCCTAGTGTAGCCAGAGATGCAGTCCTTTCTCATAAGTAAATAGCCTGTTTCGGGACCAGAGCGAGCACAGGGTCCAGGCTTCCTGAGGCATTCTTTCATTCTTTCTGAGTTGCTAATTTTCATTTGAATCACAATCACTTTTCTATGCGTATAGTGCAATCTTCACCTCTAAGGTTGCAAGCCAAATCAGTGAATTTTTTTTTCCTCCCACAGTTTAGGATTGTTTTTAAAAAAGATGCTTAATAAAGGAGCATGAAACTGGGAGAGATGTTGTACAATTGTAAACATTACCATTAAATTTTCCCCAAATTACTGTCCCAAAGTATGCCTCAGTTTTTTTTTCCGAGTTGCTGATTTTCATTTGAATCACAATCACTTTCCTATGCATATAGTACAATCTCCACCTCTAAGGTTGTAAACCAACTCAGTGAATTTTTTTTTCCTCCCACAGTTTAGGATTGTATTTAAAAAAGATGCTTAATAAAGGAGCATGAAACTGGGAGAGATGTTGTACAATTGTAAACATTACCATTAAATTTTCCCCAAATTACTGTCCCAAAGTATGCCTCATTTTCAGATAACGAAACCTGAAATGATTGTGCAACCTACTGTGCATTTATGAAACAAAAAGGTGGAGCGACATAACCTGTTTTAGAAATAAAAGTGGCACATATCTGTCTTGGCAAAACATCATCTCAATTGTGGGACACTAAGCAAGTACCCAAAGTTTACTAGCACTCCTTAAAAACTAACATTTTGTTTTCTGTTGCATACAATGACTTTCTTTCTTAAGACTTTGGCACCATGTTGAGTAAGTTAATATTAATATCGAAATAGTGTTGAAATACAGTGTATATGATATATGGTTGTTGGAGAAACAGGAACAGCTCTGGAAAGAGTCGTTCTTGCCTTTCCAGGAAATAAGTACTGTTTTATAGCTGTTCTTAGGAAAAAAAAGAAAAAAAAGAAAAAAAGCACATATCTGTCTTGGCAAAACATCATCTCAATTGTGGGACACTAAGCAAGTACCCAAAGTTTACTAGCACTCCTTAAAAACTAACATTTTATTTTCTGTTGCATACAATGTCTTTCTTAAGACTTTGGCACCATGTTGAGTAAGTTAATATTAATATCGAAATAGTGTTGAAATACAGTGTATATGATATATGGTTGTTGGAGAAACAGGAACAGCTCTGGAAAGAGTCGTTCTTGCCTTTCCAGGAAATAAGCACTGTTTTATAGCTGTTCTTAGGAAAATAAAAATAAAAATAAAGCCAAAACATGGAAAATAAAGTTTAAAAGAAGCATGTTTAAATAAAATTGAGATTGTAACAGAAGTAGAAAAAAGACAGCAAACGTGAAGTCTGAGCTCACACTTGAAATTACGCTGCGTTAGTCTTCAATCAGAATTCCCAACATTTTTTTCTTTCTATGTCTGTGTTGCAAGGATATTAAAATTGCATGTTCTGTACAGCATTTTATTTAGATATTAAAAGCAGCTTTTCTACGTTGTCTGTTGGAACCAGTAGTAGTGTCATTCTAACACCCCCTTTATGCCTGAAACTTCTAAATGTAGCTCCCCTTTCTTTATGCCTGAAACTTCTAAATGTAGCACATTCTGGTTTGTAAACCCAAATTAATACAACAAATGCATATACTCATCATGCATATTATACATTCTAGGTGCCACAATGATCCCGAGATGAACGTTTGTAATACTATATCCACAAGCAAGTCCCTGAACGTGGTGGAGAGCTCCTGTGCATATTATACATTCTAGGCACCACAATGATCCCGAGATGAACATTTATAATGAACATTTATAATACTATATCCACAAGTAAGTCCCTGAACGTGGTGGAGAGCTCCTGTAACCCTTTTCCACCCTTATAGCTCTTTTCCTAGCCCCATCAGGCGGAAGGGCTTTTTGAACACCATAATACAAAGATTATTTTGACTTGGTGACTGGAAAGACCTTAAAAATTAATGTTCATTTTTGCAGCAGTAATGGCCATCTTGAGCCTCTCCTGAGTGACTACATTGCAGCTGTAAAGTTGGCATCTGACTGGTTTTTTGCCCAGTTACTTTGCCTTAGGCAGAGCAGGTAAAATAGTACAGGGAAATTCCTGTGGTTTCATGTTTCATATGTTTGCTGGGTGGCAACATAAGCAGGACTCCAGTTCAGAAGCTATTTTGCCCTTCAGTGGTAGGATTAGTCAAATAAGAGATTCAACTACAGCACTTGAAGCATGTAGAAGAGAGCAACTTCCTTTTTTTTTCTTCCCAGTGCTTCCCTTTTTAATGTATGTACATCTTTGATTGCTTGCAAAAAATCATAAAATGGTAGAACTGCAAAGAGCCCCTTCAGGGGCTTTTCCCAAGCACCCTGCTAGGAGGGTCCCGAGTGCCCCCTTCCCAAGCCATCTTGCTGGCTGAAGCCATCCCTTGCTTTCTGAAACATCGTGGAGAGTCTAGAGCTTCTGGGACGTGCGACAACCAAGGACTTCCTTCCCAGCTCATTGTCAGAGCCTTGAGAGCTACCAGTAATGGTGGAAAGTACCTGGGCCGCCAAGAACGAAGAAGGAGAGTCCGACACCAGTAACTGTGTCTGGAGCAGATGCGCAGTTTTGAAGAGCCCGGTTGTCTCCACTTCAGTGCACTTGAAGTGGTTTTGGGTGCACAGGCGACATTCTTGCACGATGCAACCCTTTGTGATCTCGTGTCATGTATGAAATACTGCTGTCCTCATATGACCTCCCAATAATACACTATATAAAACAACTAAAACTCAAATCTCAAAATGTCTCAACACTATTTGACTGCATCTGAGTAACTATCTATCAAGGACTCACAGTAATCTAATTTGAAACTAATTTGAAATTAAATTTGAATTATGAAATCTGAAATAAGAGACAGCTCTTTTAGCTTATACATTCTCTTATTGTTATGTATTATTTTGTATTAGTTGCATGTCTCATTGTATATCCGTTACTTACCTTAGGCTTCATTGCACTCAGACTCAGTGGAACCACACAGTGCAGTAAAGGAGAGCTTGGGATGCTGTAATTCAAACAGGTGCAGATCATATATTGTAGGCAGATTATTTAAGAAGCTGAGCTAAACTTATAACTTCAGAAAACATAGCTGGAATAGATCTCCTGAGCCAGAGAGTTTAGTCCTCTGCTACTACAGGTAGCCATTTCATAGCAATCCTTAAGTAAAATCTGTTCTTCCACAAGTGTAAATCAAGAACAACATCCATAGTGTCAGTAAGACATAAGGGAATTGGAACTTAAACAGGGTAATATACAAGGAGAAAGGAGCTGGAAGTAGATGCATGCTACACAAAACTGAATTATGTTTGGACTTGCTTTGACTTTGAATTGCCATATATGAAAGCTTTAACTACCCTGTAGTTCTGAAATAGCTGTCCAACTGGTAAAGACAGAAAACTTATCTTGCACGTGTGTATACACATATGCACACACATATCTCTTATAGAACTGAAGATTTACTGCATACCTGACCTGATTTCTGATGGTGTCTGAAATCCCCAACTGTGCTTTATTCCTCCACTCCCTCTCTGTAGGATGCTCCGCACACTGTATGCCGTGGGCGCTCTGTTTCTTCTGGTGGGATTTCTGCTGCCCGCAGCAGAAGGCAGGAAGAGGAACCGTGGCTCTCAGGGTGCCATCCCTCCCCCTGACAAAGAGCAGCCCAATGATTCAGAGCAGACGCAGGCGCAGCAGCAGCCGGGCTCCCGGCATCGAGAGCGGGGCAAGGGCACCTCAATGCCGGCCGAGGAGGTGCTGGAGTCCAGTCAGGAGGCACTGCACATCACCGAGCGCAAATACCTGAAGCGGGACTGGTGTAAAACTCAACCCCTCAAACAAACTATCCACGAAGAAGGCTGCAACAGTCGCACCATCATCAACAGGTTCTGCTATGGCCAATGCAATTCCTTCTACATCCCGAGGCACGTCCGCAAAGAAGAAGGCTCTTTCCAGTCCTGCTCCTTCTGCAAGCCCAAGAAATTCACCACCATGACTGTCACACTTAATTGCCCTGAGCTTCAGCCCCCGAGGAAGAAGAAGAGGATCACCCGAGTTAAGGAGTGCCGGTGTATATCTATTGACTTGGACTAAGCGGAGGAAACGCCAGACTGACTGCACTCTGACTGTGCGCCAGCATCGCGAGAGTGAGAGGTATACGCTAGCATACCTCCAGGGCTGGAGCAACTGAGAGGGATCGACTGAATTATCTGAAATAAGAAACAACAACAACAAAGAATCAAAAAAGGACCTAGGGGAAGGACGTGCATGTGTGTGGTTGTGTGCAAGATGGAAAAGGGAGGTGGATAAGCAAACAGATGAATGTTCACTATGGTAAAATTATTTTTATCGGGAGTTCAAAATACTAAAATCTATTTACCCACAGGCTCAACATCACAGTAATTAGGTTTTCTAGTGCACATCCACATTTTTGCCGTTTACGGGCAAAGTGCAGCTGTGGCTTTTGCTCATGTTCACCTGCCAAGCTAGTTGCTTTTACTGTATGAAAAGGAACATTGCACTGCACAGACAAGAAGTTTGAAAGCACGAGGTTACTCTGAAATGTAAAGTAAACTAAGCCATAGCATAACATCACAAAAAATAACAGCTGTGTCAGAAGTTTCAGAAAATAAGTGCACTCCAAAAGCCATGTTGGCAGAACAATGAGGGGGAAAGCAGGAGTGTGAAAAAAATATCAGTGTAGGTGGAAAGAAAACATTACAGCAAGTTAGGAAGAAAAGGGTCAAAGTAAGTAGATGGGGGAATACAAATGGAACAAAAAAGAAAGATACATATATAGAAAGACACAGAAAGAGGTATTGTCTTCTGTTTACGTTTTACTTTAATTTATAGACCTATTCATATATTACATAAATTAAAGAGAAACTATATACAAGACTATAAAGAGATTTCCAAATTCTAATGGCTAAGTTGATCAAAACCCTCTCTTGTGCCACTAGATCCATTTGAAGTCTTGTATTTCAGCAAGCAGTTATCCTTCATATTTACACATGTATGTATACGCAGTACCTGTTATTCATTGGTATGGATACGTGCACGCAGGGAGTGTGCCAACCCCGCCACGCGCATCTGTCCCTCTCCTGCTCTTTTTCACACGGACACCCATACCGCAGCGCAGAACTCTTGCTAGCCGAGATCTAAGTACAAAATGGCAGTAATTTAGCACATCAAGAGCAAAGCAAAGAATTAGAGCAAGCATCATGTGACTGCCAAAGCCAGAGCCACACAAGAGACAAAAGGCACGACATTCGGGGCTAGTAACCCGCGCATTGTTATTGTTATTTTAGCTCTGCCACAGGCATGCAGCTTGTTGGAAGAGACACACAGAGCTTTGCCAGCAATAATCCGCTTTTTATATCTTTTACCACAGACTTGCATTTACACAGGATCTGGACTAAGTAAAGAGAATTTCCTGAAAATTAAGGGCTAGCTGCCCCTCTTGCTTTGGTGGAGGGGAGGAACATGGAAGGGGACAGGCCTCACCTGTAAGGTTCTGCCACTGTTCCCTCCTATGGAACGAGGGGCCGAAGCCAGGCTGGCTTTGGAGCCCACGCTGCTCATGGGTTGCACCCAAGAAGAAGCACATTCCTGCGCCGACTGCCGCCAGTGCTGGGCCTGACGACAAGGCCGACACTGAACCACTATCCAGACGGTGTTTCTGTCCCCTGAGCCGCAAGGAATATGTTCCTGCTTGTATGAACACGTTCAAGCAGCACACGCAGTGGCACATCACACACACACGGAAACACATGAAATGTGCAGTCGTTACAGCAAAATCACAGCCATTACACAATATATTGTGCAATTATTAGCTGTATGCTACATCTCTGCAGTCCATATATTCTTATGGGAAAGCACACACTGCTCTGAGGTCTGCAGCTGTGCCATTGGGAGGTGGCAACTCCTTGCTTCATGTTACTAAAAGGCATTGCATCTGGTATACTCTCATTCAGCAGATTTGACGCATTTATTCATGGGTTTTAAAATCCAGTTTTAAAATCTGGAATTACAGGAGGTAGATTTCCACTGTGTGGAATGTGAATAGTTAAACAGAAAGATATGGATATTTAATGTTATTATTAATACAAATCCTTTTCTCAATGATAATTTACAGGGGTTGTTTTCCTTTTTTTTGAGTTGGTTTGGAGGTGCAAGGGCCGATCTCAATCTTTGCTGAAGTTGTATACTAGCTAATGTCATTACAGTAATGGGCAAACCTTAAGAATGAAATTTTATCTTCATTCTAAGTTGACAGCAACACTCCTATTTTTGTTAACGATGATAGGATTTCATCCTAGGCTGCGATATCTTAAAACCCTTAGACACCAAGCAAAGCTTTAGACATTACTAGCTCCTCTATTTAACATTAGGTTAGCATTCTGAAGGAAAATTGATAACAATTTTACAAACCTATGTTCCAAAAGAGCCTATGCCTTGATCACAAAGGAACTCCCCTGGAGGCAGATCCCCGCCATAAATATGTAAATTTTATACAAAGAACTTTTATGAATTGCTAGTTATTGCCTGAGAGTAAGAAAGTTCTGCTAACTTACAATTATACAAGATATTAAATATCAACCACAATATGTATTTAAATGTCTGCTTTATTCTAAAAACAATGGACTATATAACCTAAGGCTGCAGTATTTTCATGCTCGGTCTCACAAAGCAAAACTTGGTTTAAAATGAAGTTTTAATTATTTTGTAACTGAATAGAATTGGAGTTTTTTCTTCCCAGCATTTTGTACGTCATTTTAACTACTAGTAACAAATAAATACAAAATCTTCTCCAGCCCATGTCTATTGTTTTTTTTTATTATTATTTCTTCCTTAAGTTTCCAGCTCTTTCTGGATCTGTTGTACTTTACTCTGACTTCTGTGGTTTCTTCTAATTAGAAAAGAGCTTACATTATGACAATGAGCCATAGAGACAAGCAATGGCACCATCATTCACCAGGGCTGCTTCAATAAGGTTTTTAAACAAGATCTGTCACTTCCCCCTCACCCTTCCACAATTTATAGAAGGAAAAATCTCAATCTTTATTCACACTTTTCCCCTTGTAAACCATATAGTGACAGTTCAAAATATAAATAAAACTTGAATTGCTGTAGAGATTGTTGGATTCAGCATGCCCGCCTTACACCTTACCTCCGTTTGTGTTTCATTACCACTTTCACAAAAGCGTAGGGAACACTTCTGCAACACGACACTTCTGAAGCTGCAAATAGGGAAGGAGAAGTTGGAAAGTAATGACAGAGAGTACCTAAAAGTTTGTCATTACCTTTTAACTCCTCTCTCCCTGCTGACAGCCCTTGGAGAGACTGACATCGAGGAGGAGCTGCGACCACAGAGGATGGACTGCTTCGAGCTTCCTGCTCAGCAGGTAGGAGGTGGGCAATAGCAGTCTAGATCATATCATCCCAACCTGCTTCTCCATCAGGCATGTGAGTTGTGCAGCCCAGACTATGTTGAAAGAGATATCATCATCGAATCATTATGGTTGGAAAAGGCCTTCCAGATCATCGAGTCCAACCATAAACCCTTCAACACCACGCCTGCTAAACCAGGTCCCTAAGTGTCTCATCTACATGTTTCTTAGGGATCAGTGACTCTACCACTCCCTAGGCAGTCTGTTCCAATGCTTCACCATTCTTTCCATCTTACTGAACTGGTCTGAGGACAATCTCGCAACCCACATGGGCCTCTGAGTAGAAATAAAATGCAGTAATTTTCAGTGGTATACCTTTCTGTTCAAAGGAATGACAGTGGGGTATTATATATGCACCATCCTACCAGCCAGGCAGTGTCTCCCTTTAGCATACAGGTAACTAAAGGAAAGATTCAGATGTCCAGTTTCAGTTCTGAAAAGCAGAGTGATGACAAGATCCTGGGCGTTTTTCTTCCTACTAAGCTCTGGTGAAACACGGAGCTGACCAGTCTCTGTAGTACTGTTTCTTTGTGGGTTTTGGGGTCTAGCTTTTTCTAAAGGACGTTTAATTCTAAAGGAGGTTGTTTAAATCTTTGTTCGCTTCTAGAAGATTTTCTGTGCTTCTAAAATTTTATGAATCATTACTTCTAAAAAGCAATTGATTTGTTCTGGTCTGAGGCTTGGGCACAACTGGACACAATATATTTCCATGACAATTTCCATGTATATCTTCATTTGAAGATTTACAACAAAGAGATAGGAGAGTTTTTTTGTTTGTTTTTCTCTCAAAAACTCTTGGACTTATCTTTTTAGTACTTTCTTGTACTATGGTATTATTACTTATAGGCTAATAAACGAAGACGATCGTTATAATTTACTTTAGCATGGCAAATTTGAATCGAAGATGCACCCTCTGTGAAGTCCCAGGCACTTTATGATGATGCTAAAGAAAAGAAGAGAGAGACAAGCTGCACTTCTTAAGTTTTCAGGGAAATGGAAATAAGATCATTTTTTCCCTTCCTCCTGCAAGGGAGTCTGGATTTCTGCTCGCGATCCCTGCTCGCATGTTCTCTGCTACCCATGTGCCGTGCGGTTGATTTGTACACACGTAACGAGACGAAGGCCTCAAGAGCACGTCAGGCTCGCGGCGCATGTGCGGGACAGCTGAGCAGCACATGCACACAGTAGGTCTGGCGTGTTCAGGACGGGTCACTGGAACCAGCAGCATCGTGGCTCCTCGCCAGCTCCCTGTCAACAGCATGGCCTGTGCTGGAAAAGGGGCATGCATTTGCCAAAACGATGCAGTTATTTCACCTTGTAATTTAGCTTCTCCTGTGCAGAAAAGGAAGCACTGGAGAGCGGGACCCGTGGGGACTGACACTTTGTGCTGTCCCATATACTTGAACTTAGAGCTGATAGTTCCCAAAGATTTCCTGAAAAGGAAACATCAAGTCATTGCTAGAAGGATGAGATCAGCAGGTACCTTTGCTTGGCCAGGGTTCCACTTACGCTCTCTTTCCTTCTCTTTTTAAAGAACATAGCTCTTACACTCCAAATGTGCTTCAGGAACCACTTAATTAATTGCTGAAATACAATAGTCACTAAATAACAGCAGTACAAGGTCCAAAATTATTTCTGAGTCAT